CCATATGTGTATCAATAAAAAGTTTAGAAGGACCATGGAGGATGTGAGAACTAGGAGGGAGCTGATATATCCTCTGACTATCACTTGCTGGTCACCAAAATGAAACTGAAAATTAACAAGCACTGGACAGCGGGGTGGATGACATCATGAAATTTCAATACGACCTTTCTTCTGGATAAAGAAAAACCTAACGAATTCAAGATAACCCTCAGCAGTGGGTTCCAAGCCTTGCAAGATCTACCAAACGGAGAGGAAACAACTTTGGAAAAAAGTTGTAAGGGGATCAAGGAAGTAATCACTTCAACATGTCAGCTGGTGCTGGGCTACAAGAAGCACTATCACGAAGAAATGGATCTCTGTTAGTACTCTTGGGAAAACGGAGGAACGAAATGGCAGCAATCAACACCAGCCGAACAAGAGCAGAAAAAATTAAGGCACAAGCTGAATACACAGAAGCAAACGGGAAAGTGAAGAAGAGCATTATAGCTGACAAACGAAAATATGTGGAAGATCTAGCAATGATGGCGGAAAAGGCTGCAAGAGACAGAAACATGAGACAATTGTACGAAACAACGAAGAAGCTCGCTGGAAACTATTGTAAACCAGAACGACCAGTGAAAAGTAAGGAAGGCAAAGTAATCAGCAACACTGAAGAACAGCGAAATAGGTGGGTAGAGCACTTTAAGGAACTATTGAATCGACCAGCTCCACTGAACACACCCAACATCGAAGCAGCATCTGTGGACCTCACAATCGATGTTGGCCCACCAACAATTCAAAAGATCAGTATGGCAATCAGACAAATCAAGAGTGGTAAAGCAGCAGGACCAGACAACATTCCAGCAGAGGCAATGAAAGCAGATGTAGAAGCAACTGGGATGAGGAACAAGTACCATCAGATTGGAAAGAAGGATACCTGATCAAAATACCAAAGAAAGGCGATCTCAGCAAGTGCGAGAACTACAGAGGCATCACTCTTCTTTCAATACCAGGCAAAGTCTTCAACAGGGTATTGTTAAGCAGAATGAAGGACTTCGTAGACTCCCAACTTCGAGATCAACAGGCTGGATTTCGTAAGGATCGATCGTGTACTGAGCAAATTGCTACATTACGGATCATTGTGGAACAATCAATTGAATGGAACTCACCACTCTACATCAACTTCATCGACTACGAGAAAGTATTTGATAGTGTGAATAGGACAACACTCTGGAGGCCTGCTTGAGAAGTTGGTTTACATCACACGCAATTATTATGATGGATTAAACTGAGAAATCGTGCACGGAGGATTGCTGACAGAATTGTTTGAGGTGAAGACCGGTGTCAGGCAAGGTTGCTTACTCTCACCTTTTCTCTTTCTCCTGGCGATCGACTGAATTATGAACACGTCAGCATCTGAAGAAAAGCACGGTATCCAGTGGGTAGCTAAGATGCAGCTGGACGATTTGGACTTCGCAGATGATCTGGCTTTCCTATCGCACTTGCAACAACAAATGCAAGAGAAGACGACCAGTTTAGCAGCAGCCTCAGCAGCAGTAGGTCTCAACATACATAGAGGGAAAAGCAAGATTCTACCAAATCATTGTTGATGGAGATGCCTTGCAGGACGTTAACACCTTTACATAACTGGGCAGCATCATCCGATGTGAATGTGAAGGGGCAGACCGACTAAGCAAAGGCGGAATTTCTAAATAGAAAATTATCTGAAACTCTTAACAACTATCAACCAACACCAAAATCAGGATTTTCAATACAAATATCAAGACAGTTCTACTGTGTGGAGCGGAAACTTGTAGAACTACGAAATCCATGACATAGGAGATCCAAGTATTTATTAACAGTTGTCTACGCAAGACACTTCGGATTCGTTGGCCAGACACCGTCAGCAACAACCTAATGTGGGATTGAGCAAACCAGATTCCTTTGGAGGAGGAAATCAGGAAGAAGCGGTGGAAGTGGACAGGATACACGCTGCGGAAAGCACCTAACTGTGTCACAAGAGCAGCCCTCACACGGAACCCTCAACGTGAAAGCGAAAGAGAAAGGCTAAGGAACACATTACGCTGAGAAGTAGAGAAATACATGATGGAAATGAACAAAATTTGGGAAGAACTGGAAAGGGAATCTCAGGACACAGTTGGTTGGAGAAAACTAGTAGGCAGCCTATGCTCCATTGGGAGTAACAGGCGTAAGTAAGTAAGCAAGTATATATATATATACATATATATATATATATATATATATATATATATATATATATATATATAACTGGATCTGTATCTTCTGACATTTATTACCTATTAGCCAAGCGCATCTGAAACTCCCTTGAAAACTAAACCTACTCTTATAACGGTATCCGATTCTGGTAATGTTTAATTAGTGTAGATGAAATACGGGAGTTATAAGAACGATGAAGTTGAGGTAACGCTTAAAGATATAATAATAATAAAGACAATACACGAATATAAAAAGTACTTCTCCGCGTCACACGCTTCAATATTACTGACTAGGAACTATATTACTGATTCAGTACTTGTATTTGCTATTCTTAATTTCAGGCAACTTAAAAAGATATCCTGCCAAGTATTTAAGTAGGACGAAACATTTGGGCTTACAGTTGGTTTCATAGTTTTGATCACTTTTCTAAACATAAAATAGCATCTTCCTAGACTAATGTTATGCCACTTACATGATCATAAAACGTAAAATTTAACGCTTTAAAAGTTTATCTGTTTTGCTACATTACCAAATTATCTCAGAGGGACAACTGCTCAAAACTAGGAAAATTAAATAAAAAGATTACAACTTAGGGAACCAGAAGTAGATTCTTTAATCAGACGTCTGGAGGTCATGGTTTTCAGATCATGTAATATCATGAGTTCGCACTGTTAATGGGTTCCAAAGTAGATCAAAATAACTGTTCAGTGCTTTACGTTTCTCAGTGGTTCTTAAGCAAATACTGATTTGTAATTAAACCCATACTCGAATTATGAATTTTATCCAGTGATAAAATATGTAAGTTTAGTCACTCAAAGCCTATTTCTGACTCGATTTTCCGAACAGAGTACCTAAGGCTTTGTTGTATGCCATTTTCGTCAACGTGAAATATCCTTCGTAATAATGGAAAATCGTTCTGGTCAAGATGCTAATTAAAATAAATTTTAAAACATACTCTTGTATGGTTTTACATATTTTGTTAACTCCTTAATTTAAGATAATCATGGATACCATATTATTAATATGATTTTGGAATGGTTATATACATAGACGTTAGGCGGTGAAATATCTGGGCACAATGACTGATATAAAGCTATACATCTCAGTGATATGAACAAATGAATATATAATAATGTTTAGATATGGGTTAAAACGAAGTTACACGATAAATGTTATCGTAGGCTTCAGCTTGCAGATTTTACTTATCACATAAATGACCAATTTTCTTTTTAAAAAAAGAATAAGTCTGAAGGAAATCTCATAAAGAATGGAGCAGTTAAGGAAATCGCTTCAAAAAATGTGTATAGATAATGAAAATGGAAAATAAAGTGCAAGAAATCATTTGATCTCACAAACCATAGGTTATCAGAGATATATGAGACGAAATTGGTGCAGCGCAATAAATTTATCGTGACAATACTTTCTAAAGCCTTTCGTGTTTGCGGTCACAATCTGTAAGAGTAACCTTTGAACATATCTAAATATTTTAGTTTTAGTGGGATACTCTGAAAATGCTGAATTCAGTATCTCAAATGTCAGTCTACCTAGATGGCAACATTTATGTAATCGTCTGGATGTCTTTGTAGTTCATTACTACTTCCTATAGATTTAGTTGCTCCATTAAACAGAGTAAAAACTTACTTTTATATCTTTCTTAAATACACTGACAATTTAGTCCCCTAAAAAATTAGTGAAGGTTAAAAGGCTTGCAACATTAAAATAATGTATTAACAAGAGTAGATAATCAAATATATGCTCAAATAAGTAAACCACTGTGTGGCAAACAATGTACGCTGCAACTACTTGGACTCGAAAGTAGTGCTGAATGATTAACAACTTCACTAGACTGAATGACATTTCCTGATAGTACCTGCAAAGTTTTGTAAAACACTTTTTTAAAGATTCTAGATTTATTCCAAAGTTTATAACTTTAAAAGAGCATATTAAACTCTTACTGATCAAGGTAAGACATAAGGCATTCGCCTTATAACTGTTTAGATTATATAGGTGTACTAGAACAGTTTACCAAATTATCCACAGAAGTGCACCAAGTTCCTGCTTGAACGTCTCAGTTGACTAAAATAGACAGATTTTAAGAACTCGAAGGTAGCCTAAGATATAGCTAACTACAAAGGGATAAAATTTAAAAATCTTGCATATTTGGCGGAAATTAAAGTGAAACGTTTAGTTTTCCATCTGTAATAGATTATCTAGACTAAAAGTAATTATTTGGCGTTGATGAATGTGTAAATTTATAAACCTTTTGCCTCTTCTGATACGTTCATGTGAAAAGACTAATTATTATTCAATATAGCCTGGATAAGCAACACATTGTCTTGACCAATGTCGTCTTTATTTCTCAAACTTTTACCTTTATATCTCAACTCTTGTTTGATTGGGTCTGACGATGGATCAGAAGTATGTACATGCTAGATGTGAGGTAATCAAGGCCCAGAATACCTTAAGATAGGACTAAAGACTTTATGAAAAATATATTCATAAAAATTAAGTGTGTGTAGTCAAACAAAAGCTATTCCAAACGATTTATTTCATGCATTAAAATGTCTCATATTTTAAATTTTACTATGAGATTGATGGAAAAATTTTTTTCTTTTAAAGAATTAAGCATACTCGTATTCTGTTTCGTAAATTAACTAAGGTTTACAATACAACTTATGAAATTAACAGAGACATTGTTGTTTGAAAAACCACTTAAGAAAATATAAAATCACTCGTATAAAACAATAAAAATGACTATAAGCGATTCCAAAAGTTTTATTTACTCTGTACAGAATCTCGTTGTACACACTCGAAGACGCTGGATATAAAAAACCTGAAATTGCTGTCAACCAAAGTACGCGGCGTTAATACTGTCACGTTAAATGTCCTCATTAAAATCATTCAGTGTAGAAAAAGTAGACTAACAATTCATATTCTATTATTCAATGCTATAGTATTGAAAACGTCGTCAGAATAAGTATAGAAACTGTAAAAATTCCGACTTCAAAATGTGAGTTCACAGATCGACTCACCCACTTCCAATATCCAATATCTCTTTTACGTGCTCGCTGCTTGTTCTTTTGGTACAGTTCCAGTTAATGAAGAAGGAGATGATAATCCGTATGTTCGTAAGTGTTTATCAAGTTTCTTCTTCAAACCATCCACTGAGGGGAGCTTTTCACACTTCAGTGGGATTACTGTCAATATCAAAAAGTGGAAACGTGCCAGAGTATTCATTCTCTGATTTGCACGTTTTCGATGGTTAACTCGAGTTATATGGTGGTGATGTTTCAGCAAGATGATAGCGTTACTGTGACCTGGCGTACTTAATGTATGTTATCACGTCGCCTATGAAACAGAGGAAATAGTCCAATATGTTTGAGTCTGTCTTCGCAAGGTTTATCCTTTATCTGTATTACCCATTTATTCGCTCGACTGTGCACTCGTTCCAGAAGAGGCGCGTCTCTTTCAAGGAGAAATCAGACTTCGAAAACATGGATATTTTTTGATGTTTCTCGAAGGATATCTTTAGAAGGAAGTACAACAGTAATCGTTATTCTCAAACGTAAGGTGAAGCCTAAACACTTCGACAATAGTTAGTGTGTGGATAACTACTGTGACCTTTGAAAACTACAGCTATGGGGAAACGACAAGGTTTCTTTAGTAAATCATGCTGCTAAAGATTCGTCTAAGGGATAAAAACCTATCTTAAATTATCATTCTTCTTCAGCAGAGGGGCAGTAATCCGATTTCCAATGGCCAATATCTCTTTCACGAGCTACGATAAATCATTTCATTTATTTGAGCTCGATTCTTGTCTTTCCGGAACGGTTCCAAGTGTTTGGTAGTGTTCAGTGGATAGGAGTCTAGCTACTCGACTGCCTAATTATGGTCAGTGTACAGTTGTTTGTGAGTTTGTATGCTCTGCGATTCGAATGAGTACGTTTGTTTCAGGCAATATAGTCTCTGGATATCAGTCAGGGATCACTTATTTTCTACGTGGAGAATAGTGACGGAAAAGTATGACGCTAATGAGAAGGTCGAAGAACTAGGTAAATGAATGGATAATTTAGTTTATTAATTGGTAGTGAAGATTCTACGACAGCACGGAAGTGTAAGCACTAGAGAGGAAGCAGAGATAATAAGCGAGATGGATTAAGTTAGAGATCTAAGGAGATGGCAATAATAACAACTAGCAGGTCTCAAGAGATGCACGAGGCACAGTTGGTCCACGAGGGAGAAGATAATTCGTGTGTATGTGTACGTGTTAATCATGTCTCTTCTTAATGCTTCCCAATGACGTGGCTGTGGTCACCTTGGCTGGGAGAGCATTCCAAGATGCAACGACTCTAAGTGAGAAAAAGTGTTCACGAACCTGCTTGTTCGCTCTTTGATACTCAATTTTTTGAAGGAATATCTCTAAGGGAGTGGTGGTGATGCATCGGTAAGGTGCTCACGTTGGTATGGTTTGGCATATTTAATTTGTTGTACACCATAATCAGGTCACCTCTGATTCTCCTATAACCCAGGGGGAATAATCCCAAATGCTGTAGCCTATCTTTGTAAGTTTTGTTCTTAAACGCTATCACCCATGTCGTTACTCGTCTCTGCACTCGATCCAAGAGATTTGTCTTTTTTAAGGAAAGGTGGTGCATGCATGTCTTAAACAACGTTAAGAATAATTCTGGAGTGACAGCACCAATTTGATCGTTATCGTCTGCATTTTCAACGTTTGTGGGAGCATAGTACTGAATGACACTCATTGTTATCTCTTCTTTCTTAATCTTGAAGGATGCTCAGGTGATGCTGGATCCATGAGATTCCCATCCTATGAGTGCTTTCTCTGCTTCTTTGGACAGCATCAGTGCAACTCTCCGTATGTGTGAGGCATTTTCTTCTTCATGGTCAGAGTATAACAGCATGTCACCTGAAGGTAATCATTTTTGTCCAACCTGCGTCCAATGTGTCTCATGTTTACCATGTGTTTACCGTGTCTCTACTTAAAATTGTTGAATGACGTGAAGGTGATCACCTCGTCTAGGAGAGCATTCCAAGTTGCAACGACTCTTAATGAGAAGTATCCACGAACCTGAGTCTTTGCTGTTTGATGCGCAATTTTCCAAGGATCACCTCTAAGGGAGTGTTGGTAATTCATCGGTAAGGTGCTCACGTTGGTATGGTTCGGCGTGTTCAATATGTTGTACACCGTAATCAGATCACCTTTGATTTTCCAATAACTCAGTGAGAACAATTCCAAATGCCGTTTTGTTTTCCACCCTATCACCCATTTTCGGGGTTTTTCAGTGGTTTCTGAATTCGGAAGAACATTACAAGACAACAAAACGGTAATTAATCAAACAATATTACACTGTTGATTAAAATAATTTGACAAAATTCGTTTCTAATTCTTCCGTATAAGTTCAAAATTGCATCCTTCCAGTACAGATTTAAAGTTCACCGTCCAGGGTGTCGAATTCGATATGGCTAACGCCGTGACTGAGTATCAATTTAAACAGCATTATACAGTTCAGTAGAAAACATAGAAACTCCAATAAAAGTACAAAAAACAGAAACTATAACAAATTTCAAATATTATCATCGCAAATTCGGATTAAACAGAGTACCGAAATGTAGCACAGAAAGAGTCAGTAAGAGCATATTACAAATATGTATATGGAGGGGTTTTCCCAAAATAAAGTCGTCAAATTGGATTCTACACCCGTGTCGTTGCTCGTCTCCGCACCCTATCAGAGAGAATTCTGTCAGGAAATAATTTTGTCTCGTTTTGTAACTCTTTCACTGTGTATAAGTGTTTTTCCTTCTCTGTATGTATTTTAGAAGCAGTGTTCTGAAGTGTAGACCACTCTCAATCATTAAGCTATGAGTGTTGTCTCTTTCACTGGAAAGAAGTTGGTAAAATGTAAGTTTTGAAATTCTATATGGATGGTTATGAATTAGTGAATATTGGTGCAGGTCTGTTAGACCTATTTCATTATCATGCTAATTAGGTTTGTTGATTTTTTCAGACTGATAATGTTGTACTTAAAGTCAACCCATTGAACTAATCGATATATACAACAGTAATAAAAAGAATAAAAAGGGGGCAAGAATATACATACGCCAGGTGGATTGAAGTTGTGATGTTAGACCTAAACATCCTCGTCATGTAGTCAAGTAAATATTTCGTCCCATACATTTAAGTTTCGATTTCCTATAAGTTTCCAGTAATTTATAATGAATCATTGGGCTAGAGTTTTATCACCATTCATGTCACATATAAATGTAGTGTTGTATTACTTTCTGTTTAAAATTAGAATAGATATCTCGATTTCGATGAATAATTTTTGATCTGGTTTCTAGCTCGTGAAAAAGATATTGGTTATTGGATGTCAAGATCAATAAACTTCATTTGAAAATAGCCTAAACTTTAAGGTTGATTAGCGATATCACACAACATTTGTGAAATCCGTATTTAAAAGAGATTGCTAAGCGTGTTGTCAAATTTTTTTAGTTATGCTAATATAGTCTGTCTTGCCTGCTCATTTCTAGAGGAGTATACTTTTTACTTTATCTAAGTTGTAATTCATAAGCATTCATGTACCCGCATGAAAACAGTCAGTAACCATGTTTTAAGTGACTTCATTATGCCTATGATCAGTTAGTCCCGTTGATTACATGTATTGTACGGTGCTCAGTCGTTTTGGCAAACAATATACTCATGTGTTACCAAATCTAAAAGAATGAGTTTTTGAATAAAGTGTTTAGTGAGTGAGATTGACTATGATCACCACTAAATACTAATTACGAGCCCATCACTGAAGACATAAATAAATTCAGGGTAAAGAATATATTTGCTGGTGATTTCGTGGTGTCGAAAGGACACTGAAATTAAACCAAGAAAGTGAGCGAAATAAATAGCGGATACATCGAAGATGACAGCAGTGTAACTTCAGCCTTTGGTTGGTTTGCGTCTAGCCAGGAGGTATCTTATGCGCTATGGGGGATGTAAGGAGCAGAGTATGAGATTATAGGGAAGAAGAAATAACAAAAGAAAAAGATGAGCCGACGACTCAGTAAGCACACAAAATGCACTTACATGCAATATACGAATAAGTAGACAGCAACCAGATATAAATCCAGTGTGAGATTAAGACAAACTGATAAACGAAACTAGGAGTTGATATATTTAGGTTTCGAATGCATTACAGCAAAGCAAACAGAAAGTTGCGCGTAAGTGTTATAAACAAAAGTACAATTAAAGGATCACTGGTATAATTGGTTATATTAATAAATGCTTTCATTTCACCAATCTCGTCCACTTCATAAAAATATTCTATTACAAGTCTTAGTGCAAGGAGCATTCAATTTGGTAAGTTCCTGTCCATCAAGTTCCTATTGCACCAACCTATCTCAAATGAAATGCTGAACGAATAATTCCAAAGTTTATTGATAGTAATAGTCCAATCTATCTGTTCTATTAACTCGGGAGATTCTTCGATCGTTTGACATTGTGTCGGTAATTGAAAATAAACCCCTTACAGATTCCTCTTCTTCCATACTTGAAACATGAAGCTGTGAGTAAATGAGATGATGTTAACCGATATGATGTTTGACATGCCAGTCGATTCACGTAGGCCGCAGTTGAACGAAATTTCATCCAGTAATAAATCCAAGGGTTTTAATGCTCCAACAGATGTGTACGGAATCACTAACATATTTTTGCATTATTATGTATTTCATGTTATATCTGATGAATTTCCCAAAGTAACTAAATCAAAGAGATTCTATCGGTGACTAAATATGTGGTAAGGCACATTGCCACCTTCAGACCTCCAGTCACAGCAAAACCTCGCCGACTGGAACTGCACATTTTATTTTTCGCTAACCGTGAGTTTGACAAGTTACTTGCTCTATGTATTACTTCGTCTTTCTCACAGTCCCTAAGCCTTCTCTGTCCATTTGGTTCGCAAAAAGATGGCATTATTTGGAGATCACACGGCGATTACAGAGTAGCAACAGAGGATACTCACTGTTCCACATGACACTGCATCTGCCTGCGGAATTTTTCACACCACAAAGCAGCGACTTCATGTATATCAGATAACGTTAAACGACTATCTGCGTACACGCAAACACTACCTCCGGTGTCAACTCAAATACAGAATCAACAGGTCGCTCTTTCTCGAGAATTATCCCCCAGTCTGTATGTTTTCATACAGGTAGATTCGGTACACAAACCTTTGCAAAAGCCTTACGATGGATCCTTCATGTGATCTGTGGTCACGGAAAGACCTTCAAGGTTGATGGAAATAGTCAGCATTGATTGTCTCATACCAGCATACGTCAATTACAGTACCTTATCCGATAAATCGAAATTCAGAGCTAGAACTATCCAACTCACTGGCGGGATCTTTATTTCTCCTTTGGATCCTACGCTAGACACATCAGGGATCTCATTTTCACGTCCCAGTCGACAGCACGCGTCATCTGCACTATCTGCAGATGAGTCCCCTGTCGCTTGTCCAGATCAACAGACCGCGCCGCCCCTGACTTCGGATGAGATTGAGTCCCATGAGGTACGCACGAGACAACCATTTCGCGTTCCGGTCGTCGCGTACGCCTACGTGTACGCTTTCGCGGCTGATCCTCCAATGAACAGAGGATATGGTTTAGGACTTTATCCTCATACTACATGCATGCTACGCCTTTCTTTTTTTCTTTGATTGATTTTATCTTGAGCCCACGCCTCCGACTATCTTCCTGTTGGTACCATCGACTTTAGTCAATCTTGGCGAAAGCTGGCCTGATCACCCACGCTCTTTTCAATGCAGTCAATCGATGTTCTGGTCCCGACTATTCTCGGCATACTTTTGTTCTCGAACTTGGTCATTGTGATCGTTTCTGGTGCTTCCGCTCAATCTGGTACCGTCCTACGTCTGCAGCGTTTTCAGGTCCGGAACGCTACGAACGCAATCTTCAGATTCTGAATACGAGTCACGCTGGTGTGGTTCGCTAACTCGAGCAACGAACAGGGCACATTACCACTGGTACCATTCACAAAGGACCTTCGGTGACAACTCGAGAACCCTGGATCACTTCCTGTTGGTCAACCCTTCCGATCTACAATCGCAGGTTGGCCGACCGAAACCTCTACGAAACGAGAGTGTAAACCCTTTCTAGCTGGGGGCTACTGTAGTGGATCCACCTTCATGAAGAGAACGCAATGGATATAATTGAAACGTTCATTAATATAACCAACAGTATTAGTTATTTTCCAACTGTACGTTTCGTTCATAACGACCTTTACGCGTAAAATATCTGCTTGTGTTACTGCCATCTTTGCTTCACCGTCTCTGTAATTTCAACCATCCTTTCTGGTTTGATTACGATATTCTTTCGATACCAAGATGAAGCTGAGACTCAAGAAACACTAGATAACTGGTCAAAAAGCATCACAAAGGCTTATTACAGAGTTTCTTCAGGATACTGGTAAACTCAACGAATTCAAGGCAGATCTTAGCAACCAGTTCCAGACCTTTCATGATCTACTCAATGGAAGGAGACTACCATGGAGAACAATTGGAAAGGTATCAAGGAAGTAATAACTTCAGCATGTCATGAGTTTCCACCACACAAGCAGCACCATCACAAGGAGTGGATCACCGTTGAGTCACTGGATAAGATCAAAGAAAAGAGGAACAAGAAGACAGCAGTCAACACCGGCCGAACAAGCGCAGTGAGAGTCAGGGCACAATCTGGATGCACAGAAGAAAACGAGCAAGTTAAGAGGAGCATCAGAGCTGAAAACCAATAATATGTAGAAGACCCAGGATAATCAGTAAAATGCAATAAGGGCAAAGCAATCACCGACACTGAAAAACAGTCAGACAGGTGGTTAGGGCGCTTCGAAGAACTCTTCAATAGAGAGAACAAACCAGATTCCGGCGCAGTAAGATATCAAGAACAAGCGCTGGAAGTGGATAGGAAAGACACTACGGTAAGCACCCGAACACGTCACAAGACAAGCGCTAACTTGGAATCCTCAAGGCGAAAGGAGAAGAGGAAGACCAAAAAACGCATTACGCCGAGAATTGGAGTCAGACTTAGAAATAATCAATAGCAATCGAGTGGAACTTAAAAGGAAATACCCACGACAGAGTTTATAAGAGAATGCCGGTCGGTGGCTCAAGCTTTTCGATGAGTAACAGGAATAAGTTAGTAGGTAAACAATCAAATTACTAAGTTTTGTTCAGGAAATCGGCACCGTCAGTAGAAACAATGAATATATCTTTTTGGAAGTACTAATGAATACTCATAGTTTAGGCCACTAGGGATGTTCTGCTTTGTAACTTTAGCCGGTGAAAATTTACTTTTAATTTGAGTGGTTAAGGCTAATTAGCAAATACTTGTTTCCCGTCTCATAAAAACACAAGTCATATTTCAAAAAGTTGGATATATTTATTTTAATTCCAATAAGCAGTTTACAATGTATCTGACTGATATCTAGCTGCTGAGTTTTCAAGGATTTGTAAAGTCAACCCTACATAACAGAAAACTAAGTATTTATAACCTATTACTAAAATTAATTTAAGAAAATAAAAAAGTAAACAGTACAAAGAAATGAATCATACAAATCTAAAAACTGAACTTTCAGAATTCTTGTATGACTACTGTTTGGCTATCTCTCTGACAACAAACAATCAGTAGTATTTAGGATAATTCTCATCTGTAACAAATCTTTTTAAGACTAACATCAACTAATGTTGTACTTAGCATAAATAGTAAAAAAAAAATGTTTCTTGTTTAAGTGATATTATTAGCAGGAATTAGCTGGACTAAAAGGAAATATATATGTATAGTGATTCTGGTCAAATAATATTAGAACTTCAGTAAAAATCATATAAGCAGAATATGTTCATATATAAAAAAAAAAATTGAATAAATAATTACGAATAGTATGAAAGAAATATAGGCAGTTATCAGGTTTATACGTAGTAGTCCTAACTAAACACTTGTTTAAATAAATCTTGAGAATCTAGTTTTTGCACACTCATAATAGCTTGATATTGTAACTGTTTTTTTTCTCTCCAAAATCACAGTATTGCATTCCATCGAATAAGGTAAATTAAAACAAATCCGTATCTTTTTTGAGATTTAATAAATTCATTGTTGCGCATTTGACAAACGACGTAGGAGTTCAGTTGCGAAAGGAAGAAATTCACCAGACCATGCAGACTCCCATAGTAATAAGCAATCTGATTCAGCTACTGGACTGTTTGATAATATTGATTTGTGCAGTTGTGCAATAAATTCTTCATCTACAAACACATAGAAAACAATACTTCAATGATGAACGATCAACAGATTATGTCCAATGTAGTAAAGATGATATTTACATTTTACCTTAATGAAACAAATCACTCAAAAGTTCATTATCAGACTACTACTACTACAGCATGTTTGTTGATTATTCAGGGTTTAAAAGTTATTATCATTATTAGATTTAAATAAAGAGACAAAACATTTTTGAATTTCCCTAACGAAACTTTATTTGTAAAGAAAAACCTCACCATTGAAGTATTTTAATTTTCAGCCTGAAGAACAATCTAGAATTAATGAATTTAGTTAAAATATTAGGAGCTTCGGTAGTTTAAAGTAGAACTAAAAAAGATCATTAGCGTTGATTCGTTATGTTAAAATAAAGAGCTGGTCTAAACCAGAGTTATTTTATCAAGTCAATAAACAATATAGCCTATGGAACTCCGAATAAGCTATCGAAAATTTCGTGATCATTGAGAGATCTGGAAAACTTGAGTGAATGTGCATTTCTAGGAATTTGTAAACTAGGGTAAAACAGATATTTCATGCTAATTGATGTTAAGTAGTTCTCCGAATTATGTGATCTCGATTAAAAAAAACCATTTCCAAAAAGAATAAATCACTAATTACACAATTTTAGATCGCTTAAAAAAATCTGTTGTCGATGGTGTAACAAATGAGAACAAACAGATGATAATCTCCACCGGGTGCATCACTGTCGATGAATTCAGCGACGGTAATTATTAGTGAGTGGTACGTTTAACGAATGAAAGCAAGATTATGATACTACGAAATCCATAAATTCATTGTAAGTAATTTTTAAGGCTAATAACTGAAATTAAGGGACAATCTTCCAGCGATATTTGGCTACAAAAACAGACGGAAGAATAGAGTATTCAATGAAGCGGATCGGTAATGTATCCTCACAAGAAAATAAAAAGTTTTCTTTGTAATACAAAATCAGTCAACGTATAAGTAAATGAAGACCACTGGAAAAATTCTTCGTTTTGTCTCATCACAAGGTTAAATCTTTAATATTTTAACCTCTTTCAAATTTTTCAGAAACGTGCTTCTCAGGAAAAATCATTGATGTTGAGAGATTGGTGCGATTACAAGTGGTATTTTGGGTACCATGGTCTTGGCAAATTATAGTCAAAACTTTGAGTTACGTAATGATGATTGCATCGAAAAAGTTGTAACAGTGCAATCAAATGCCCGAGCTCGTCTTCAGCTTTAGGTGGGATGAGCTTCAGACAATAAATAGGTAATTGTTAATAACAACAACAGAACAGTTTGAGAAATCGAAAATATAGTCAAGTCAGTAAAATCTAATATTCGTAAACTTATTTTAGCGTCTAAACACTTCATTTAGACCGAAACTGTCAGAGTATATTTTAGTTATAATCTGAGTCATTCATAGTGTTTTCAAATTAACGAAAATAGTTATTATGTAATGCGAGACATAAATTTCAGAATGATATAATCATTGAAGGTATGAGTACTCACCAGTAAATTTAGTTAGTAAACTGAACAACTCATTCATTATTTCTTGATCGAGAATTTCCGTAAGTGAATTATCAACCAGTTCTGTGTAGTTCCATAATGTTTTACATGTTAATCCAGCTAATTGCCAGTCATATCCAGCAAAATCACGAAGAATTTCTACAAGTCTAGTAAGTTAGATGTAAATAAAAGATTATTTTTTAAACTTAAAGAAACAATTCTACTCAATCAATCATTCTTGAATAACAGATTATCTATAACAGATATATTTTGATAAAATTAGATAAAAGTTGAATGGTAAAATTTAGGATGATAGCAGTCGATTTAAGAGGTTTGCGTTAACTCTGCGAAAGATAAGCATATTTTAAGTAACGTTCGTTAATGAACACAATTAAGTTGTAGACTTTACTTAAGTCTTCAACTACATAAATGAATGAATAACCTGTCCTGCAACTATTAAAATGGAATCTCGAAGAATGTCTTACTCTAAATGTTTTCTGCATGACAATTTTCAACCTAAAATTTTTTTTTCAGGTTTAAGAAATTGAATTTCGACTAATGCTATGTTTAGTTAAGGAGTATTTATTATAAGCTTGGAAAATTATCCTCATGTCAGTGCTTGACTGATGGGACGAAAATGGAAGAAAATTGAAAATTTGTTGAATTTTCTATCGATTTAGTAGTTGTTGCATATATTCGAGAGGCTATTCTAGTCGACCTATTCCTCTAGCCTCAGAAACATAGGTTTCAAGAAGTTAGTCTTCTCAAAAAAAGCTTTGTCGATTTATTGAGCTCAATCAATTCATCTAAAAAGTATCGAAGTCTAGTTGGCTGAATTAACTAATAATAATGTAATGAATATTAACTGATGTCGCCACTCTAACAACTGCGATTAGCGATGAAAAAATCACCAATTCATCTGGAAAAAATGACATACTAACATTTTTATTTGAAAATATATGTTTTAAGAAAACCTTTTTGGATTCACTGGGTATACTATCAAAATAAAAATGTTATTTTTACAACTTTTCAACTTGAAACAGGAAATTATTATTTTGTGGCAGTTTCGTACAGTTTCTTTCAAAAGTCGTAGACAAGAAAACTAGTGTTTAAATGGATAAAACACCCCGTGAACTGCAGTTTAAAGCGTCAATGAAATCATTCGTACAATCAATATACTTCACCGCATTCCACAAGCCAGTGACGATTTGCATTCAGTAGTTAAGTGGATAACGCGATGGCATTTGATGTACTGGGTTCGAATTTCGAAGTGGACGAAACAAGCGTTATTAATGTGACCGATCGCCATTACTCAACACCAGTTAAAATGCTTGTGAATTAGTGGCTATATTGGGACAGTCTGCACAGGATCCAAATATACCAATCCAGACTGATCGTTTGCAGTTCTAAAAGTGACTAGGAAGATTCATGCAACTAATATAGATGAAATTAGTAGCATTTACAACTAGTTTTTCCGATTAGTATTTTTGTAAAATTTTAATGTTATAATCAGACAAAATATATATTTGCGGTACAAGTATTTTTATTCAGTCTAGTCATATTGATATAGTCTTGTAGTCATAATTTCAGCTTTGCTGATCAAATGATAGATATTCATACCATCCAACTGATCAGTCAGAAGGAAATAAAGTATTGTTTGAATGTTCGATTTAGCGGAGAAATTCATGTGTTTACCTCTGAATTATAATTAGCATCTCCTATCTTTATAATCGACTTTTACTAGTTTATTACTAAAACATCTCAGCGTTATCACAAAATACAATACTAGGACCAAAGATTATATGAACCGAAGGTAAAGTTAGTGCATTGATTAGATATTGGACAAAATTCGATGAAAACAAATCGATTATATTCAACAACTTAAACAGAATCCACAGAAAAACAGGCCATTACAAGAGAACACTTGGTGTCTGGACAGAATGTTATTACTGTTAATTTGTTGTGACAAAGCAAAATACATAGAAGAGATCAGTGAAATCAAATATCTTAAATGAGAAATAGGAAAATAACAAGTTGGGCTGGTAATTTTAAAATCATAGTGAAATTTATCACGAAAAAAGGTGATGATTTGAACGACAATGATAAGAACATGTTTTGTAAGGTGATCATCACAAACACGAAATAACATGAACCAGAATGATGGTTAGAAACAATAATTCACAAACTGTCAACTACAGGTTATTATGTTTCAATATGAAAGCAATAACTCACTTTGATAGACCTCCCAGCATTCGTAACATCGGTCGTTGGTTTAAATCTGTCATCAAGTTGATCAACACACCTAATGTACTATAAACAATATCTGGTCGTGGAGAATCCAGTGCTTGGATTACTAAATATAGAAATGCGTTCTGTTGAATTAAATTCTTCAAATCTGTGTTATCATTATCATTATTAATACTACGAATTGGAGTGATATTGTTCGCAGCTGGCAAAGATTTGACTTGTAATAATTGACTACTATTATTAGATAACCATTGCCTTATTGCAGTATGTCGCGTTAGATTGCCAAACACACGTATGATACCAAGAAATTCATCTTGATGGCAATTAGTCTTCGATATTACACGCAATAAAACTAACAACAATGTAAAGAAGTAAGATTAAATTATATTAAAATACTTTCAAGTCATGAGAATTAATTAACGATTGACTAGTGTAGTAAAAACCTATAGTGAACAAAACTGTCATTATCCGAAGGTTGTTCCGAATAATTTGGTTTCTGCACTGATGCATGTGATCAGTGTGTACCGTATTCGTGGTCTTGCCCCCATCATGAGGGGAAATCATGCGGACGTTATCAATTTTGATCATAATTAGTAGCTTTTAATAGGCATCTTCTTTTGTAATCTTCTGAAAAGTAAAAATTATCATATCAGAAATATCTAAAACATATTCCACCTTATATAATTTTGCTGTGAAGGGTCATTTCTAATATTTGTAATTTTAATAACTTACTTTCAGCTATTTCACATTGTTTTGTAGTAGACTGGTCAGTTGATTCCAATTTTATATAGTAAGTCAAGTTATTTAGGCTTGCAAAACAGTTTAACAGTAATTCATTGGGCTCTCCAATAGTTTGATAATCTGTTGGTGATATTTAAAAAGCAAATAAAAATGTCAGTCATATGGTAGAAACTAGCAGAAATATAGTTTGGAGTTACAATGTAATTGAGTCCGAAACCTTGATATGGTACTAAATAATCGGCGTGAAAGCAATCAACTGATTGATCTAAAATGGCAAAAAACTATTCCAGAATTCAGAGAGTGCAAGACTAAATAACCAACATGTTAGTTTTGAACGGAATTTTATCATATCCACTAACCAACGAGGCATTTTATTCACAAACTCAATTTATATCTTCTAACATCGACAGCAATAACTCTATTCCGAGTAAATTTCCGAAATTTTACTTCTGTGTACACTCCGAACCATGAATTTGTATTCCTGTACTCCAATAACTTTAGTCCTGACAATAATTTAGCTTTGTCTCGGCACAAACGTTTTTTAACTTCTCTTGGCGGTTGGCTTATCCATAAACTTTCTTGCCGGTACGTTTTATCGTTCCCCACACAATATTAGATCATACATCGAGTTGGTTGAAGTATTCTTGTATATTCACCTCAAGAGTTACACTCTCTGCCCACTGTAAAATGAGCTTAATGCTAGTTATCGCATTGAAATGTGTCAGTTACCGCTCACACTGAACCTATTTGAACTAGAATTTCTGAACCAAAAATTCATCAAACATCTATAAATCTTAGTTGTTCTGAAATGATCAATGAGAATTTTGGAGCTTTTTGCAAAGAACATTTCATTCAGCGTTTATTTTAAAATTGATTATCACAGTGCTATTTTTTTCTGGCTCAGAAAACCATTTTAGATTATGTAACTACTTAGCTAAGTTGAAAGCCTAATGGTAGATTCCTGCTAATAATGAGCCGAACTTTTTACTTCAGATACACATATACCCACTGACAAAGTATTATAAGCGTAAGATTACGAATAGCAACCAGCGAAAGTGGCAAGAAATAAATGAAGTATTTTTTACTGATCTATTTATAACCAATGTCCTGTACTCCTTCATTGAGTGATAACTAACTATACCTAATTGTTTTCACTGCTTAATCATCTGGCTTTATCCATGTAAAATCATATTTTACGAGTGAGAATATCAATCATTTATGTGGTGGTTATTCACTTATGGAGAACATAGTGCTGAGTTAAAAGATTTGAGAATTACAAACTTCACTTTTACTTTAGCAACTTCAGGATAGGACAGACTACACTTTATTTATAGAAAATTTGAATACACTGATATTATTCATGATACAAATTTACAGATAGATTTCTTATATGCATTAGGATTGTCATAATGTGACCAATTTTCATTACATTAATTACCAGAATGACTTTCGGCGACGTTTTCAAATGATTTACAATTTAAGGGTGATAATTAAAATAGGCTAAATAAAATATTTTAAGAAGCTTGTAGTATGATAAACATCATATCATTTTGAGATGGTGGAGAAGACTTGTAGCTCAGGTGGATGATTGTAGTGGTTCTTCTGAACAATGAAAGCTTCACAACCGAAACATCCAGCTCAGAGAACAAAACACCACCACAATCATCATATCGTATTATTCGATAGGTCGATATGAAAAATTTAAGCTAGTGTCATTTTACATTTGTATACAGTTTTTACTAGAAATAATTCTGAAGTTTTGAACCGAAAACAACACACTACAACTATTGAAGTTAACTGATAATATCAATGATTCAGAAGCTAAATCTGTCTGACTGTAAAACTTATTTGTGCGTAGCCTTAATAACGACTACAGTGACGAAATACTTGTTGATTTAGAGTATAAAACTGTAATCCACATACAACATTATTTAAAAAGTAACAATACAACTTACTAATAATTTCTAAAATTAAATTTATGCAATCAAAGTTTGTTGTGCAGATTAATCCAACCGTATTACTAATGCTGACATTTGCTATGACCCGTAATAATTTCACTAAAATATCATATTGTAATGAATAGGTTGATTTGACAGAGTTGTTCAGTTTATGAGTCATACTGTCGTTTAGAGAATCTGGATACAAAAGATAGTAAAGAGAGAAAAAAAATGAGGTAAAAAGAACTACAAGGGAGTGAGAAAATAAAAGGAAAAATCACTGCCTTTTATGTACTTCTTAAGAATTTATCTATCTGAAGAATTTTTGACTTGAAGATAAGCCTTGATTAACAAGTTTAACTGAAAGCCTTTTGCTTCATATACTCGTACTCACTTTCTTTACTTTTTATAACTGGTACACAATAGAATCGACTCCAACTCTCTCACTTTGAATCCAGGTCCATGTACATAATTCTGTAGTTGAATATAGGGTTCTATTTAGATAATTGGATAGTTTTATTTGTATGAAGTTGTGCTACTTCCAAAGACACATAGAATTAAACCTGATTTTTCAAATTGAAACCATAGCATAAACAAACTTCGAAATGAATACAGTGGGCATAAATCAATCGATATTTAGCATACATCTATCTAACTAGGAATGATGAGATTTCAGTCTGAAAGTGAAGTACTACAAAACCGTCTTAATATTATACCCCATTCGGTGTTGTCGTCAAAGTAATCCGACTGAGATCGACCACAATAGGTCAAAGGTTGAGTTTCCAATTCAAAGAAAGTTGTTTAAGATTATTATTTACTGACATTGTATTCCAGTTATTCAAGTAATAAGGAAATGATGATATCGAGAATAATATTGCTTGATTTATTTGTTCATAAATATTATATGCTCTATCTCATTGAATATACTTACTATCCATTAATTATAACATTCAATTCAGATAGTTGGTAAGTTTTAACAAGTCAAACCTGACAGTGTAGCAATAAATATACAGAATAACATGGAAAATTTACACAAGAAAATTAATGACTATCATAATGCACTACAAAGTCACAGATATTCGAAATATTTTTTTTTGATTTTGAACAAAATTAATTACTCAACTGAGATTAGCTATGCGTATGTGTGCATTATCAGGACAGATTAGAGTTGATAGCATTTCTCTAGACGGGATCTGCTAGCTAAACTGATAAATTATATTTGTTCATATTTTGTCTAATATTCTCAGAAGAAATAATCACAGATATACATGAATTCATCATACAGATAAAGCCAGATGGTAAAAAAGGATATTGTACAATGTTCTTTCTATCTAGCATGTATTGTACAACGCGAAACTAACAGTTTAGGCAGAATTGGCTCAAAATCATTATAGCAAAAACTAAACAAGCGTCAAAATGAAATTTTCAATACATAACATGAATAAAGTTTAAGTAATTTTTTTTTCAACACACCAGTATCGTTAAATTCAACAATAGTTGAATTAGTTCTATTCGTAAACTGATCAGATTGATGAATAGACTTTTGTATTTCTTTATATCGATGGCACAGACTGCATAATTTCAACAAAGAAGTTTGATTAGGTATTATTGCCAAACGTGCACGTTCACATTTAGCCGCCAGATTGCCAAGTACATAGGCTATTCTTACAACAAGTTCCTAAAATAGAATTTAAAGTGGACACTTTGCAGTTAGAAATCAATGACAACTATAAATTTGCCTTAAAATGTCAAATTAAATAGATTCTAAGAGTTTCGTAGAAAGATACAGCCACACAATGACTCATAACTACGTAGTGAATGTTGTATTTATCTAGTCCTTGGCGCTGATAGAATTCTATCAATCAAGTCGCCATTTGGCCACTAGTCTAAGGTTATCAATATTGCCTAGATTTGATTTCAATGTTAGATGGTTGGAAGCATTAGGCAGAAATCTTTGAACTTAGTTATTGTATTAGAGGGCACTCGTCCTTGATAGAATTCGATAAGCACTAAGGACACGATAAGTATGGATTTGCTTACGATCCACTGATTAATCCGTCGAAATATTCCAGTCCTGCATGAGGTTAGTCATTATCGCAATAACTCGTCGATAACCTCTCAGACGGTGAAGCTGGGTAAGTGGATTCGAGTCCCAAAGAGATCATCAATTTCCTTGAGATTTTTTTAAGTAAACCTTGCTGGTGAGTGCCAATTGGCACGGATTCTAGTTCCAGGTTTTTCTGTCGACTATGTTCGAGATTTATAGTACACGTATAACCGCAAATTCAACCAAATCAAGAAGAATTGGAAATCATACTTATGTGGTTATTCTGTAATCTGGTAGATATATTTTTAAAAGGAGTTTATGTTTACTTATTAAAATATCTTGAAAATAATCTTATTTTATTTGAATAAGCTGAGATAGTCCTGATCACTGACGAACATACTGCGTAGGGAAATTAAAAACTAGGAAGTCGTGAACGACTGTCTTGTATAATTCAAAAGTACGCACCTGCAACTCTACCCGTGATCAAAACTTTCAGGTCTTTTTACAATTCAACCTTTATAATGTTCGGGTTCAAGGTACCATTTCAATGACTTTACGATATGTGCCAAAGACAAAACCGGAAAGTTCTAGATTCAATGTTTAGCCAGGTTGCTTATATGATATTTCAAACGACAGGGGATCAACTACGTAATACTTCCCAGTTTTAAGTAGTTCTGTAAATTATGTAACTCAGTAGTGAAAATTATCTTCACATTGTAGTGAATTCAATTAATCTTGAACATCCACATGCAAACAGATGGTGTTTGACTGTTATACCGTAACACACACACACATATTTACGTCTTATGAAAAGCTCACGTGAACAGCATTCATATGAAATTAAGTAATTAAACAAGCATTAATTGGAACATACGTGTTTATCTTCAAAAATGTAGATGAAATCGGTCAAAGCATAACACAATACTGCAATTTGTGTTGATACAGTTTGACATGCATTAATCAAATTGTTTGGCTTCGTACTCACTGATAATTTAATGTTCATATCTTTGCTAGATGGAATTAACCAATTTTCTAAATAATAACAAACATCTGCATGTTCAGTTAAATGAGATAAACATCTAATCCAATTGAAATATATAGTATAAAATTCTGAAGAGTTGAATCCTATTTCACTTTGATTATTATTATTATTATTATTCATATCAGGAGTGGTGATTATACTGTGATTTGTTTTCAACAATTCATCATCTAATTCTTTATAACTGATTATACAATTTACAATATGTTCCAATATACCATTATTTGCAATTAGTTTTGGACGAAATGAATCCATTGAGCTTAAATAACAAAATATCTCGGTAACCTTTCATGAAAAGAAAGAAAAACAAATTGATTATCCAATGAATGTGTGCCAGATTTTTATGGGAATTACGCATTAGCCCTAAACTAAGATACTACGGAGCCGAATAGAGAAAACTTGGAGTTTAACATAGTGAGGGATAATAGCATGTCAACACTCAAAAGAAAAACTTCTCATCAAAAACAAAACGTTAGTATGTACAGCAAACAAACGATTGGACGAGAACAGAAAAAACATCTGAGAGAAGAAACTAACCAACAATCAAAGTGTAAAGACAATCCAAAAAGTGTTGTCATTTGTTACAACCAATTTAAACAGTAGGAGAAAAAATTAGAATTCTTGAGCCTCTTCAATAAAATAAGGCTGATTTTAAAGTCAGCTCGTCGAGAAATAATTTATCAACATTAGAAATTTATTTGTAGCTGTTATCAAGAAAGAATAACTTTAAAATCTTATAAAGTTTAGTGCACTATTTTTATTTATCTTTTTCGAGGTTTGATTAATTGGACATCACTCAATGAAAGCAGTTGAAATAGGTTATTCGGGGAATCGCGTCCATAGATCGAAAATAAATTGTGAATGTTGAGTGAATTTAAGTACACAAAACAAGATATTTCAATTATGAACAAAAGCTTCGAATCCGCATGAAAAGACAAAGATATTTTCAAAGAAGTAATTGATCGTTAATTAAAGAACACGATATTCATCCATTAGACCATAGGTTCAAATCATTTTTCATACAATCTCTTTTGAAAGTCGGATATTATCATAATTTCTTATACAAAAAGGTGTGATTTGGACTCAAATTCAAAACGAAAACTTGGAGCGACAATGGTTTGACTGTGCAATAAATAAAAACTAGTGAAGAAGGAATTTTCATGATTATAAAATTATTTGTAAGCTAAACATTCTCGAGGCTAAATAAGTTGAATGGAAAAATTAAACTTATTTAAGGGAATGAGGAATCATTCTCTTGGTTGCATAAGACTTAAATTTTCATTTGCAATAAACGCGCAGAGTTTATGAAATTATATTCATCAAACCAGCAAAATACCTATTTAGCAAATTGTGAGGTATAAAGCTCATACGATTCATATAACTTAAATATTTTTTTCAGTAATTAATAATCGTAATTCTTACACAACTTTCATTATCACAAATATGATTTGTGTGAATTTATAAGGTGGAACTTCGGCGGACTTGACTTAGCCAAACAAACATTCTCCCCAACTTTTTATCTTTTCTTTCAAATAGTCTAGTTCATGTATCGAAAATGTGTATCAGTATCAAGTTATGAATACCATGCGTGACAACACGGTGATATGTTTTAATTTAATTGCTAGACAGATCACTACTAGTGCTTCCATCGCATTCAAATTAGCAAATGAATAAACATTTGGAATCAGTGAAACATACTTTAAACTAATCAAGAAAAAAAAAAAAGAAACACTAACCTGCACTATGATGTGATATGCGTGTTGAATAAATTTACTAATTTGATTTCTGTATACATCCTCATTATTATTACTAACAATGTCATTATCATGATTGCGTTTATAATGCACTTGATTTTCAACAGGATTCACTAAACAAAAATATTTTCCATTCTTCCATAAATAAATTAACATTTCATAGATGTACTTGTGAATAGTCATTAAATTTGATAAGAAATTTGTGTTCGAAAGAAATTTCTGCATAAAATTGTTATTGCTTATAAGGAATTTTATTGTACCAGTTAAAAATACTAAACTTTCTAAATGTATACAAAATAATGTGGAATTTTGTAATAGATTATTCATTGAAAAATATATTGGTGATAGTGATGATGAGCTTGATGAAATTGTTGACGGGGAGGCCGCAGATGAGGCAAGAGAGATTGATATAGTGGACAATTCCAATGATTGTAAGGCGTCAATCAAAATATCTGAAAAATGAAGGAAACAAGAAAAGATTAGTTTTATTTTTTTTTGACTGGATACAACTAGCACTCAAATATTTAATAGGTAAGTGATTATGTGAAGATTTGAAGAATAATTGAATGATGCATAAGAATAGACAAAGTTGTTCGACAAAGCAGTTAACGAAGCTGACAAATATCACCTGGAGAAATGGTGAAAATCAAGGAACGCTGGGAAAGTGTTTCTTCTTACTTTAGGTGGCCAGACAATAAAACTGTATGCAAAACACGAACTTTAGCAATAAATGTTCATTCACTACTCACTGCCTATAGGGAGATTTTTTCAATGTTCAATCGAAAGTCATGGAGAGGTCATAACTACGTTAAGATCCAGATAGTCTTCACTAATGATATTCAATGAACGTGGGACCAAGTCATGACAGGCGAGTGACCTGTGATTGTAAATAAAATTTCATTTATCATATCTAACTGACAAGAGAATTTCAGTAACCTTACAAAAGTTTAAACAATAATTCAATGCTTACCAAGTGTATTAGAATTTTCTAGAAATAAGCAATCGTTATCAGCATTTTTGGCCACTTTGTAGACAAGTTTACAAATGTTCAACAAATTTCTGCCAGTTACATTCATCTGCAAAGAGAAGTTACATAATTCATACAAAAACAAGTAAAATTCTTGGAAAGGAGGAAGATTACATTGAGTACATTTGACAAGGATTTTATCGGATAACTGACAGAAAAAGTGATCCTATTATCCCACTAATTCATTTATCCTGTAAATCGGTTTTATTTTAAAAATCAACAAGTAAGACAGCTTTCAAACATTTCAATAAAATAATTTCATGGAAGATCTAAAAATGAACTATCAGTCTCAAGGTCATCAGCCAAAGTCGGTTGACTTTATCAGAATCCCATATGCTCTTCCTAATTTATTGAGTACGTAGATTAATACGATTTTCGATATATTGCCCTACATTTAAGAAAGGCGTTCCACAAATGCACGTGTATTACTTGATGTTATCTACTTAATTTAATATAGCACAAATTGAAATGTAAAAAATCTTCCAACTTTAATTTGAAAGCAGAATAGTAGATCTGCTAATACAGAGAAACTTAATTATAATGGAATTCATGAGCATGAAGTGCAATACAAATGGTCTACACTACACTGTTTCACATGTTTGCTAAGAAAACAAAGCAATGCAGAATTGGATGGAAGCATTTGTCTTGCCCGTAGCTGTTAAATAACTCAAAAAAAAAACCCAAAGAAAGATCCAATGTAATTATCTCTGAATGACATATTGTAAAACTAATAAGAACATTTAATAGATGTCTATTTCGTAGCAAATAAAGTGAAAACCAAGTTTTATTTTGAATGAGATCAGATGAATTTTCATTTTATAATGTTGTTTTTATAAAAGTTCAAATTTATAAGCAGAAATGAATAAGATATCAAATTCACTACCAGCTAATATGATGTGTATTCACAGAAAAATTTAATATTAGTAATCTAACACCAGAATAATTACATTTATTGTTAACATAGAGAATGATTCTGTACAAAAATCTTCATATGGTGAAAATATGATGTGAGATTTGAAAAAAAATTATCGAATCTGTGACATAACTAAGCGTACTGACATATCGATTAACCAAATTATTACTCACGTTTAGTATCAATCTAGCTACTGCTAAGTGAATCCTTGCTGAAGAATAATTAATCAAGTCGAAAACAGCTTTCAGTAACATTGAACGATTTGGAAAATTTCGATTCCCATCTAAATCGAATTCACTGATACAATTTTGTATACGATTTAGTAAATCTATGATTTCATTTTCGTTTGATTTGTTTGTTATCAAATCTGAATGATCGGTTTCTTCTTTGTCCATCGACTGTTGTATTGTTTTTGTTGAAGATGCAACTTTGTCGCCTCTATGACTTAACTTTTGATATTGTTCCTGAATGGATGATTCATCGTTGTCTCTGGATGATACTTGCAAATTTGAACAGGATGAAAACGATGAGGATGATGAGATGGTTGCTTTTGTTGATGATTTTGATAATGACAACTCATTTAGTTGATTAATTAAATGATCTAATTCTGTAACAGATGACAAACCGGAATCACCAGATGCAGATGTTTGAAATTTATCACATAAATTTACATTAATTACATCGTAATTAACTGAACGTTGATGTGGGCCACAAGATTTAGGCTAGTGAAGTCATTTGAAAACAACAAAACAAAAATATATTTTTGCATAGGTTTGAATTATCACGTTATTAATTAATATTAGGGACTACAAGCGATCAGTCTCTTCCACACATGTGCATTCTAAGCGGTTTGCCCCGAAACCGAAAGTTACGGTATATTTGGATCATCATTGATTTTCTGAAGGAGAATAAACCCATTTAGCAAAATTTGAGCGAAATTTATCACAGTAGATAAGTATGATATGATTTTGTGTCTTTGATTTACTGTTTGTAAAGTACTTACTTTTTTGTACATCAATCATAAGGTTGTTTGACCAGCACATTCAAAGTACTTGCTCTGAGTGACTATACCTTGACCTTGATTATTTATAAACTTCCTATATAACATGAATGATTTAAGTCAAAAGCTTATTAATTGTGTAAACATCAAAATTAGTATATAAAAATGATTGATTGTTATACGTCCACCGTTAATCAACTACAGAAGCAGAAATCAATTGATTCAATAAAGACCAAAATCAGATTTACGAGTATGAGGATTGGTTGCTAAACATCAGTGCTAATACTATGAAACATCCTTTTTTTTAAAAAAAAATAACAGTTGACCAAAGCATGAAATGAACTTTGTGTTCATTAAGCTTCAACTTTCATACTAGTAAGAGATATTTCTTAAAGAAATCCATACAAATGCCGTCTTTTTGAAATGCAGTGGTGCATAGCACAATTTTCAACAAATCTATATTCGTTATTTTCTTTTCCCTGTATTTTTACTGAATTAAATGAACAAATTAATGAAACTTTTGGCTAATCTTCTTGACAAAATCTAATAAAGTTAACATATTACCAAAAAGTATAAATGTATTGTTGAGTAAATGAAAGATATTTCCTGATTTACAGAACGAAATAAGCTAGGTAATAATTTTCACTGGAGACATATCTAGTTTATGCATAAATATGTATTCTCATTTTTGAGTATTATATTTATAACTATATATAACCATAAATACATATATATATATATATATATACTAATCTTTCAAAAGTTGTGTTTGTTAACTGTTCGCTAAACGTAGTTTACATAAAATAACAAACAGTACGGATTGATTTATATAAATTTAGAAAATATCCTTCATTGCAATTTCACTTTTTTCACTGTTTCCATTTATCCAATGATACACAGAATAATCAGTTATGCAAGTGAACGCACACACACGCACACACACATATCTGTGTATATACAAACCACAAATACTACTACTCTTTGTTCACTTGGTATATAGATCAAAATCTAACAACACTATATGAAGCATGCAATAACCAAGAATTTGTTTCCGCTTCCCCTATTCGCTCAAGCAATGAATTCCTTTTCGTATCTACTTATCTTGATTGAGAAGTATCAATATAATACATAGGGTCTAGTACTGTTACACACTGCAGAAACATCTTTCAGCACAAATAAGATTTTGAATATTTTACTGTTTAAGAGTTAGTTAGAACAAAACAAAAAAAACCAGTACAGTAGTTGAAGTTACCATTGGAAACAGTGAATTGTTTATTAGTTAAATAGAACTTTTTAAGAGCATAAAATTGTTTGAAAGGAAAAGATATATTGTTTTAATCAAGAATTATAAACAAGGCTATTTTTAATATGACTTTAAACTTAAGATTTGATACAGCAAGAAAAAAAAAACAGTTAATGGTACACTTCGACAAGTGTAGTTTTTCATAAGTGGGATTATGATAAAAAGTTCATTTTTAAGTAGAAACTAGTTTTATAGTATTTTTCTTTGTTGAAAATAAATTTTATTGCTTCAGTTTATGAGATTGAGAGTTAAACAGAGTCTACAGTATTATATAATGGTATTGTTTAGAAAATGATAAACAATGAAATTCAAATGGTCGAAAAAATGCTCAGTGATATAGTGAAAACTAAAGCCATGACTATACAGATGACTATTAAAAATCAAATATTCTAACTCCATGATATTTATTAATTAATTCTGTAAGCCTATGCTTTAATTCATTATTCAAATAAGCTTATTAAGAACGTTTTTGTTATGAAGCAATTAAACTAAGTCGATACTCATATGATGATATTTTTAGTGGTATTCTACGACATTCAGGCAGTCTGACTGAAACAATTATATATATATATATATATATAATTTATTAAAGTAATCAATATTAATGATATATCTACTGAAAAGCTTATTTTCAACTAATGGTGTTTAAACATTCATACTAAGAGAGGGCTGTTCAAGCTTCATTATCACTTTGAACGAAGTCAGGTTGACAGAATGAGCTTGAATGATGTTTTCTTGTGATATTATATATGACCGAAATCCCAACTTAAATCAGGATTTAAATCACTATTGAAACGACAAAATCTGACCCGAAATCAAATTACGAGTCGATTTCTTTCAGTTTTGTTAATCAAAGCACTAATTTGAAAAATAATCTATATATGGCTGAGAAACATTTCTTAAGATTCAAAATGCCGCTAGAAAAATTGTTTCAGTTTATAAATCAATTTCGATTTGAAAACAATAATATGTTAATTGATCACCAACTTTATTCTCATTGACAATTGATTTAGTAAATTCTGTACTTGTACTTGTCCCCGTGACCGCAGAACGAATACCATTACATCGAAATTGATATTTATCTTCTTCAATAGGTAAAGTTGTTTTATTTGGCAACAGGAATAAATCAATCGGAGTATTTGGTCGGAAATGTTGACTACTATCTATCGATGAGGATGTTGACGATTGAGAAGGACTATGATAATAAGGATGTGAGGAAATCGTTGGCGATGCTGTTGTTGTTGTGGTTGTTTTTTTATTACTGGAAGCATAGCTATCGGGTAGAATAGGACTGATTTTAGAAGTGATATTTTTAGTTTTATTCAGTTCCGTTTGGAGTCTAACAAAATAGAACAAAATTAAAGGAAAATGGCACTAAATAAGAGATGTAAGTGAATAGTAATGGATCATTTAATCTAGTGTCCATCGATTATCGAATTCTGCCAATCAATAGTGTGATTAGGATTTAGTACTTTGTAGTATTGTAATAAAGTTTGCTTGACATTAAATGATTGGAAGTAATGAGCAAGACAACTTGAGACTTTGACTCTAATTGTCAAGGCTTAATTATAAAATTCTGAAGAGAATAATTACGCTCGCCTAGACATTTCTACTCACATGGTCTGCTTTTAGCTAAATCAATCAAAAGTGACCATTTTCACAATACGATGAATTCCTTGCATAGCGTTACTTTTTAGTTAGGCGACAATAAATTTGATTATTTTGAATGCTTAACAAAAGTTCTGAAGTTGAATAATTTTCTGGAAAGAAAAGACTTACGAGTTGAACTCATTAGACTGTAATTATAAAACTCATTGAATTATAAAAAAAAGGAGGAAAAACGAACAAACTGCTTTTATTATCAAAACAGACGGCAGTTAAACACAAACTCTTTTCAACTACAAAGGTTAATTATAAACTTTCGAAATTCATTTTGCTTCTGCAAATTACAAAAATTGTAGTGTTTGGATGCTTGGTTGATTATTTCGAATCCATTCATTGCATCCATATTATATCTTGTTTTAAGTCGACGATGGGCTATCAAACTGAGAATAACACTTTTTCTTCAGTTGTATAAGATTCTTGGAAGATGTTCGACAAAACGTGTAGATGTTCATGTTTCTATCCTTTCAATATAATTTGTATTATGTGTACACGTGAACTGATGTAAGCAGCTACTGATATGTGACGGGTGTATATTTACTTTTGATTATACTATGATGATAAACATGGAGTTTTATGTAGTGAAAACAATTTTTCACCGTATGTACTTTTTTACAGTTACTTCTGGTTTTTGGTTGACTGTGGGCATGATTCGATCACTGTTGTTTCTCTTTCGATTTTCGGTCTTCAACCGTACTGTACTGTTCAGTAACGAACACATTACTGCATGTATTCTTTAAGATACTCATTTTGTGGAAGACAGTTATTTTATTTTACACGCCTCTATTCAAGCTTTACAGGTGAGGATAACTTTCTAACTGTGAGACAGCATTTTTTTCAATGCGTATTTAAAATATTAATAAGTAAAATCTGTGAATCTTTAGACATACATAAGAAAAAGCTCTGAGGTGGGCAATCCATTTGCTACTTCTAGTAATCAGTTAAACAAGTTTAAGAGATTGAACAAAATCAATATTCAATATGAACACCAGTTCATATCCTTACTCATGAGTTTATTTCAGGTGAATTTCCAAACTTCCTTGTCAGCAATCGCGACTGTTTAAAATAATCAAGCCGAGAAATGAGGCAGATACTCGTCATATCATATATATCACTACTTGATATAAGGTGAAAAAGATAAACCCCATTTAATTCAGACGTAGTAGCTTATAAACTTAGTGGTCCTTGAGAAATGTTAAAATTTCTAGTTTCATATATCGTCAACCGTACTTTCAAATTGTAATGGGATAACTGCTAATAGTTTGTACGATTTTAACTGCTTCGCTAGTTAGACCTATCTCAGAAACATAAACTTGGAGTGTATCTTATAATATAGGCTGAACTTACTCGTTACAACCATTGTTTGGAGATTTTGGGGTGATGCATCGTTCTGATTTATTATTCGAATAAACTGGACGCCTAACATTTATCGGATAGATCAAACGAGTCTGTTTGCCGACAAGTTCCAGACGTGGTGAATTTGTATGACTGTCAGATTCTCCCATGGATCCACTGGATTGAGATGATGCTGCTGAAATAAATAGTACTTCATTTGAATGATTTTGATGGTGAAGTTAAATAAAGAATAACAACTTTATAAACGTGGTTTAGTTCAACCATCCTCATAAATAGTCATATCTTATACGTCTGACCATACTTAGGAAGATAGGTAGCATAGATGAACTTTATAAAATGTGATTGGTGCAAAGTCCTAAATTTCAAGCTTTTATGATTATCTTGGTAAATACACCGCGAATTACTTTTCAAACACCATAACATCACTCATACCCATTAGGCAGCAATATTATTGAAATTCATACATACAAAACAATTCTAGTTTAAGGGTAATGTGCTCACCATGAGACCTGATGATACCAAATTCGTTCCTACGTAGATTCACGAATGTGCACGGCAGAGTGGTTGTAAACTAAGACGAAAAAACTATTCAGTGTCCCGTGTTTTATATTAACTCTCCAGCTAACATTAGTTTATGACAAAACCTATCATCAAATACAAGGATATAATATGGTTAACAAAAACAGGAAACCATCAGACAAACAACAGACAAAAACAGGTTATTTGTGGATTGCCGCAATCTCATTTTTTAATTATTATGAAGAGTTCCTGTAGTACATTTCTACATGATGAAAAACTACGCACTTGCAAAAAAGCACATGATAATAATTGTACAGTTAATCTTTTTGACGAAATAAATATTTCTTTAATACCAGTAGTTTTACATCGTAGTTACTTTTAAATTAGAAAGTTAATTTGCAAATTAATCAACTCATTCTATTATTTGGAGACAAAAGACATAGAATAAATTATGAAGTAAGTTAAAATGAATTATTAATATATTTCAAAAATTGACTGGCATTTTGAAGAAAAAGCACAGCTCTAATGAAACTTTCGTATTATTTAATTTTGAGAAAGAAAATTTTGTTTTTAATATTGAAACTATATATACACTTAAATAAGCATGAAAGAATTCCCAGTTTACACACAGAGTAAAACAAATATTCATAATCTTTATGTGTATTTGAATTACTTTGTAAACACTTGTGTAATAATGTGTAGCTATAAATCCACGTATACTTTATTTAAAAAGGTATAAAATAGTCAGGCATTAGTTACACTGGGATCTTTTATCAAAATTATCTTAAACACACTAAGTGCATTTCGACAGAAGGAAAATGTTTCTGGACTCGCATTCCTATATTAAGTGATTGAACAATGTCCCAGTTATTTAAAATCTTACAGTGTTCTCAGTGAGCTATTGAAAATTATCTTTCTACTCTTATTTAAGTTGAAAATTTTGGGATAAATGTAAAACTTGGAAAAGCGGTAGAATGCAATTGTTGTGTTCTAAAAGCCCACGTTTACGTTGGTGAGATCTCAAGCCTCAAGTTCTTCTTGATCAGTAGTCATTATAGGTTGCGTATAACCATGAGAACCCTATTGCACTGATCATAGATGAGCAGGTCTGACTAAGACAATGATCCAAGTTTTAACATTTTCACTCTTTGAAGACCTAAAATCTATTTTAGGAAAGTTAGTGTATTGAATTAGCAGATCAATAAAGTAATTCCGTCAGTAAATATGTCTGGTTGCTGACGAAAGTTTGGCGAGGGATGTGAAAAGCTGAGCTAACATTTACCATCCTTTTCTGTTTGAACGGTCAGAGAACAGAAAAGAAATACAATCATGTACTAGGCTATTCGGCTGTGGGCCTAAAGTGTGAGTGAAAGATATATATTCCTGCACTTGTATCCTCAAACCAATGCTATTACAGTAGAACTACAGTACTAACGATTTTGCCACTATGAGTATTTCTCTACATAAAGTCGATAAGTAAATCAAAACTCCGATTACTTGTAATTTATTCATTTCATACATATCTACAGCACTCATACTTCACAGTTACGTTATCATCTTATTCACGAGGTGTAATAACCTGAGCTAATAAATTTCGTACTAAAATCTATGTTTTTCTCTGCTGGACAAGAGTGAAATTTCTACATTTTTTAAAATCTTTATTGACAATCGTTTTTCTTTTCTCAAAGTCAAACCAGGTTCATTTGGAACTTTAGTTATTAGTGGTGTAGTATTTTTGATGAGTTTTATAACTGATTGACCTGATAACAGTTTAGAATACTCTAAACTTTTATTTCCTATCTTACGTAATGAGTTGATATTGGAGAAAAAACCACTGAAAACCAGCAAACGCTGGAGAGCTGTTACATACCATTACAAGACATTTCAGAAAACAGCATTTAGAAAACGAGAACGAATTTCGAATCGACTCTATCTGCATGTATTCTGGTTTCAGTCAAACCGAAATTGATGAGATTAACAATCGTCCCAAATATTCAAAAGGACATTTTCAACAATCTACCGTTAACAGTTGAAGACATTGTGCATAAGTATCTTCGATCTTTCGCATATCATTTGAATATTTATCATTGTGATTTGAAAAAAATGTCAGTACGTGAACGTGACCAGCGACAGTTTGTTTATCGAACTAGTTAGGACAGTTTAATGCCAATGATTGGTTGATATTCAGTATTACGGGGATTTTTAAATTAGTTCACTTTCATATTGCAATTTAAAGACTTGAAAAGTAATAAAATAACTTCCTTCTTTTCCGAAATTAAAATGGAAAATTTATGTTTAAAAGTTTTATCGAGTTTATTCACACTTGCAATGTCACTGATTTAATGATGAAGAAAAGTCCAAATGCGAAAAAATTAGGAGGTAGAAATGAAGGAACTTGAGTTCGGAAACAAATTCGCTTTGATAATCTGGTCCACACGACATGAAGACTAGAACAAAGATATAACTCATTAATAAAGTTACATGTTTGAAATCACCAACCATTCATTGTTAGACCAGCTTTGAAAACCTGGAATCACTGGATGGCCGTTTCGTCCTGTTATGGGACTCGTCAGCAGTGCGCATCCATGACTCCTGCACCTCGCAGGACTTGAACCCGGGACCCTCGATCTTGTGCGCGAACGCCTAACCTCTTGACCACTGGACCGGCATACAACGGTATTAATGTCTAACTCTGATTGATCAAGGGATTCCGCGCGACCTCACCTATTTGCGTTTGGTAGTTACTGCCTACAGCCGACAGGGTTGAACTCCAGTGGTCACGTTTTCTCACTAGAACTCAGAGAATTTTCTCACGAAGCTAGTCACTAGTGAGCACATATTACATATATTACATACATTAGCACATATTGATTGATGATTTCAAATGTGTAAGAACACTAATCTCCATATCTCTAATTGAAAATTAATGGAGTTGTATTTGATATTGAAGGCAGGTTAATTCGTTGGTGTTATAAATGGTGTGAGTGCACTAAGTTTAGTGGTTAATTTATACCAAGTTCATTGTATTCAATTTAACTATTGTTCAGATAAGCAATTGAGATACAACTCAAGATGTGTTGACTTAGATGTTAATCAGGGATTGGATCAGTTGTAGTTGTATTATTTGTGTATAATAAATCCTACCTTGTTTTCTTCACAAATCGTATCAGTAGTTGAATAGTTTTAGTAAGTTAGTTACCATAATTGGAGTTTTGTCAGGTAAAAAAAAGATGGAAAAACATGTCATAATGTAAACACTATGTAAATAACATACCAGAGTGACGGCTTCGGAATCCATCATCCGGGTTTCTAGATTTTCTAGTTACAAGTTTCGCATCAATTTTATTAACCTTTGATTGTTTCGTAACATTTGTATCCTATTAGTTTTGAAGAAAAGGTAGACCGATGTTTGGGTTAAATCAAGTATTTACAATCAGTAGTACACAAATTACATCAGAAAGGTAATAACAAGATTATTAATAGCAACATTCAAGATATCCTGTCTAAATATGAAGGTGGTTTAGGGCAATAATTAACATGAACACCTTTGGATACCAGTCCAATAACCTAAAGGTTGAGCATTTACACACGAAACTGTAGGTCCTGGGTTCGAGTTCCTCGTTCGGGACCGTGGGTGTACATTACAAGGATGACAGGACCATCCGATGGCGGGTCTAACTTAGATCGGTTCAAGATTGCAATCAAATTCAACAATCTCTCCAAGTTTTTACTTACATTATGAGTCGGGTAATTCGAAGTATATCTTAGAATAAAGTAATATCACACAACAGAAAAACATAAAGCGTTATTACCGCCAAAAATAAATACAATACCCGTTGAACAGGTTAACAGTTATCTACACTTAATAGCTTATTAGATAAACAGTTGATGTTTGAAGCAGTAAATATCGAGTTTTGGTAACAGGTTGAACGCATATACTAGCACATCCAGCTAATAAGTTTTAAACTAGATGAAAAACTATAAATTCCTCTGCAAATTCCAACCTCAAAATTTAATAAAATGATGATCTAAGACTATATTGAAAAATTCGTTCATTCAGACCGCGTAGCAACAGAAACTGATCAAATGAAATATCCTGAATATTAAACGGAAAAATACAAAGATAGATGAGCTGAGAAAAACTTGATCTAAGATTTAGATAAATAATTTGTTCGAAGACATGATACTAAAAAAGAAATAAATCTAGAGAAGTAAAACACTAGTTACTTTTTCAAATGATTAAAGAAAACAGATAGGAAATAAGGTATTCACGGGTATTTTATGTTAATATAAAGTCAGTAACCATATTGTCTCAATCAAATTACGAAGAAACCTCAAAGAGAATTAATTATAATAATGATTTCGATCAGTTATATATTCCATTGCCCAAGTACGTCTAAAAAATAGCGAATAACACATCCTAATATTTCTCGATAATAATGCACTGTAGAATAAGTTGAATTCTGGATTCAGTTCATATAATAAGTATAAAATAAATAATTTTAGAGACACCCGTGAGTGTTGGTGTGTTATGATAGCAGTTGCATAAAGTGATAATTGCAGTTTACGTGGTTAGGCACCGACAGTTGATGGATTCATGGAATAATGCTAAATTTTAGTTCAGTGGTCCATCTACCTCTTCCAGCTTATTATCACACTAACATCAATTATCGAGGTAGCCGGTGGTTCGGCATCTCAATCACTGACTATTCACTATCATATTGACAAATTGTATATCACATAAGGCATGTAATATGTACCAAATCTGTTCTGCTAGTTTTTGGTCATATGAATCTCAAAATCGGATAAAATTGTCTTCAGTTGCCATCTAGTTTTGAAGTATTAACATGGTGATATTAACTTAGAGTAAACGAGAATAGAGAATCTGCCGCGTTTAGTACCACAAGATACTAGTATGATTCATCCTGGCTATTGGACAGACTTTAGTAACTAAGTCTTTCTGACCCTCTTATCGACTCTATTCTTTTCATAAGAAAATATGGCTTTCAGAACACATACAACTGATATTTGTGTCTTTTTATTTTCACACAAATGCGTCTTGAGTGAATGTCTGTCACTTACAATTTTATCCAGTGCACATCTCTGTTACACTACGCAGTATCTACTTACAGACATATTAATCCTCGTAATGAGTGCTATAGAGGAGTTGGCAAGCCTGCCTTCACTTCGCGTCGTTTCACTGCTTCCTATTTTGCAACATCTATCTGGGTAAATGACTGCATGAAATAAACTCATCTACCTGAATCTGCATTTAGTTTCTCATTACTGCGGTCGCACAAACGGTGATAGCCTGAGTGACTACTTATTTTCATGTCATATTTCGTCGTCTGTCAAAATCGTAGCCAGATCACAGGCTACTAAAAAGTGTTAGATTTGCAAAAGTATAACATGCACAAAGTACATTACACGTTTGAAAACAACAATAAAAAAATGGAACAACATACTTTTACATGAATCGGTTCCAAATGGACAAACGGTTTACTTGGTATTTCATAAGGGTCAAAAGATTTCGCAGTGACGGTGAAAGCGCTAGGTGGTCTATAGCCAGTTCTTGTATCAGATGTGCTTAATAATGACCTTGTTTTGTCTTTGGGTGTAAATGGTCTACATGTTGAAACTGAATGGAGCCAATCTCTTGATTCTTTGACTATTTGAGCGGAGGTTGATTTACCGTCAGGTAATTCATAAAATGCTCTAACTGGGTTACAATTTGTAGTAACTGTGCAATTTAATAGGTCTGAATTAGATGTACACTTTCTCAAACCAGGAGTTGACATCTGCAAATTGAAAAGAATTTAGTAACACTTGATTATTTCTTTCTTAAATGAATTAAGCACGGTCTTTCATCAGTTGCTAGTAGTGGAATAAAGGATATATTGAGAGGGTGTTGGTTGGAGTTGTCTTTATTAAATTTTTAAATTTTAACGAACCTAATATTATGACTTCTCAATTGTAAAGACAATATGCATCAGGAATGAATAGGCTTAATTTTGAAAATGTGGATGCTTCGACTTGGTCATATAAGCCAGTGTGGTTTGGAGATATTTGACTCAAATCCATGGGAATATTTTAGGTGAACACTCCAAAGTATCCAAGTTGTTGATTATCCTTTATCTTTAAAGGTTCTCAAGATGATGAAAACAAAAAAGGCTTATATAAACTACTTTATCATATGAAAAATTAAGTTCCACAGTAAAATATATCTATCCACATGTTACTTTCTCAGAAAATAAGTATGAAAGTTTGGATTGAGTGGTAATGTTCGTGGGCTATTGTTAGAAATCAGCAAACAAACACAATTACTTTTTTATTAAATGTTCAGCAAGTTAATTAGTAGTCCCCTAGATTTCGTGCAAATGAAAGTTAATCCATTTCATTTAAGTAATGCTCACTTTTCACACAAATTGGTTGGAATAAATTTTGAAGAATACGATGTAAATGAGTTTATTTTATTCCAGTGATTTTTTATCAGTTAGTGCTAAAAGATCGCCAAATAAACACAAATCAAGTCGTGAAAACGGCTATGGAAATAGATGGAGATAAACAGGAACGCCCACTCGAATGGCAGTTCAAATTGGTTGAGATTCTCTGTTATGCCCTGATTGCTGTTGATGAAGCATTTTTAATCACAAATTTTAATTTGACTCATCGTACCCACCAGGATACTATGTTTAAGCTACAGCAAACGTGACACCTTTTTTGCCCAGTTTGGAGTTCAAGGCGTTTTCGAAGTTCGGGAGATCCACCATGAAGCCAGTGACACGCACCTCAGTACAACTTTTGAATAAATACACAGAGAGATAAATAACTTAAAACCTACACATTCTCATGTTGAATGGCTTATAGTCAAGTCATAGTCAGAAAATCGTAAGGAAAGAAAATGTAGGACATCAGGAAAATTATTGAGCACACAAGCAAAACTATCTCAACACCCAGTTAGCCTTAGTGACTGTGGTAAAATTCCACTTCCTAGTTGTTGCTGCAAAGTTGCAGTACAGCACACAAAATTCAAATTTTCTCAATGATTACTTCATCTACAAGAAAAAGCAAAACCAACAACAAGTCGAGAAATCTCTCACAATCAAAACAAGATAAACTTGAAACCAATCTTAGAGCTTATTAATTGAAACTTTAAAAAAATCTATATTTAAAAATTAATCCCTTAGGTTCACAATACTTTTGGTTAACTGACAATTATTAGCACAAACAGGGATAAAAAGAGTGGTCCAGAATTTCTTAGCTTTCATTAATTCTTTGAATATTGCTTATAAATGGAAACATTTTACATTTGTACAAACTTCAACGGAACCATTCTGTTAGAAAATTATAGCAAAAATAAGAATAATTTATATCGATAGTCATCATCTGTACTTGTAACGTTTCAGAATCAAAATATCGAATTATAAAGGCATATAAAATTGATGGAATACAGAATCTCATCAATCTAACTATAAGCAAAACAAATAAATCAAAGCAAGTCATGCATTTGTGTGAAAGTGTACTGAAGTAAATACAACTTCTGTTCACGAACCAGGTCAAAATAGTGACTTTAATCTAGTCATCAACAACATTGAACCTTAAAAAAGCGTACAGGAACGAGATGTCAATTTACATATACACAAAGAGAACTCAATCAACGGAAGAGCAGAAGAGTTGAACTAGATCTGTCAATAGTATTACATACTAGAGATAATATAATATAGGCTTAAAGGAATGAATAAAATAGATGATTAAAAAGTAGGCAATGACACCGTGATAAATCTAGAGGGCAAAGTAAATTAAGTATGCTACTGTCTTCCCCCAACTATATTTTCATTGTTCAAAGCATTCCAAAAAATTCTCAGACGTCAGAGCTCCTCAATGCAGTCCCATCTCACGTTCCACTATAGGTATATAGATGAGTGTTTTCTTCAAATTCAGCTTACTAGCATTCCCTAGGACAATAAATCGACAGTCTGAACGCGAAAAATATTGTGAAGGTCCGAATGTTTTTATTAAAACAGAAGGTCAACAATTGTTCTGAGATTAGATCAAACCTAACATGTTTTGCACCCTCATTGTTACTACTAATCTATCTATTCGATAAAGCTATTTTCTCCAAAGTAATAAATATCCTCTCAAACAGGCTTCGTTGGCCCTGCAGAAACAACAATCACCCAGAATACTTTCTAGGTAGAGTAAATTTAAATATTAGATATCACAATCGCCCTTACATAGAAAGATGGATTGTTTACATGTAGCTCAAGAATGAAGTGAGTAGATTGTGTTGCAAGAACTGCATGAATAATAATAAAATAAAATAATAAATAAATAATAATGATAACAATAAATAAATAAAAATAATAAAATTCCATGAAACACAATTTCTAGCGACAGATTAGTTAACTTAAAGTTTTTCTCAGTCACGATTAGTCGTCTTAATGAATTGTATGAGATCTACAGTAAAATTAGCTTCAGAAATTTAAATAGTACTTATACAGTAGTATAACAACTTGAAATTGAATAGTATACAACTTCTAATGGCAGACTAGTTACAAATCCTTTTTCTCATTCATGATTTCCATCGAGAAATATATATATATATATATATTCAGAGCTTCTTACACATTTCACCTAATCTCCTAACTTCACAACATTTTGACGTGAAAGCCTAATGTATGATTGCATTAAAAAATTTCGAAGTATACTGTTCTAATGAGAATGAAAGTTTACCAAGTCCTACTACAAAATCCTGGAAGGAAAGTTAATATATATGGTAAGCTAAGCAAGCCTAGAACTAAATCACTCAGTTCATTCATTTCACATCCACAGTTATAATTATTCATGGTTTCAGTTTATTGATTGAGAAAAGAACTGACAGGATTTCTGGCACAATGGTTTCTTGTTTGTTCACACTAATGGATATGATTCCATTCAGCTTCAACAATCAAAATGAACACTACTCTTCTGTGTCATGCAACAATTTCCTTCTAATAGTTAGGCAGTGTTCATTACAGTCAACAAAACACTCACTAAGATGTAGCATATATGTTAATGTTTTATTCGGCATTCAACAAATGGATTTTTTTTAATTTTCAATATTTCATAAGATAACAGTGACAAGTAATACTCAGGAGAAATTTCACTCATGACATACTTAGATGACAACAATAACAATGACAGAATTAATAATGCCAGTATTGATGAGGTGTAATGTTTGACAATTTCAGATTGATTTCATGTCATGTCGAGTTACAATCTGATGTTAAATAAACTCAAGATAAACTCACGCACTGAAGTTAGATAAAATTTCCATTTCGAAATAGAACAACTTTCTGGACAGTAATGTATTAATTAACATTTCGTTTCCACGCATTGTTCTTTCTTATATGATAAGTACCGAGCACAACAAATGCACAACTTGCAAGTCAGTTAATTCTATGCACTCTTATGTATATTTATGCATAATTTTATATGAGTGACAGTGTCTGTGGGTGACTATGTGCGTGTTATGAATTCCGCCATTAAAACAAAAACCTACATCATTTCTTTCAAATTCATCCTTCTTCATTATGATGAAAAATGATTAGGGAATATTCACAGTTTAAACAGTTGTTTTTTTAAGAGTGTGTATGCATTATCATCAACAATCTGACAAGTGTCAGTCACAAAAACATACTAGACTATCACTTATTTGAAATTATAAATACATGAATGAAACTGCTGTCTGTTTCAGTCATTTTTCTCAGTTTTATTTCCTTGTCACAACACTTTTACTTTCCAGTTAGAGATATATGAACAATGTTTCCTTCTCTCTTCCTCACTTTAAATTGAATAAAATATCATGAAAAGAAAAACACAGGTAAATGGGTCGATTGGTTTACAAATCACCTAGAAGCAAATGGTGTTCCACTTCTAGATAGAACACTACATCTAAACAAGTATATCTGTCAGTCAAAAAAATGCATTTCACGTCCCAATGTGTATCCATTGAATCAGCATATTTATGCAATGAATTCATGGTCTTGAGTTTTGGTAATTCAATTACTTTTAACTCTATGCACCCATAACAGGTGGTTTATTACTCGTCCGATCATATAAAAATATTGAAGTGGAGTTGAAATTAATTGAGTTTCTGCTTCTGTTGAAGAGAAAATCAATACTGACATCTATATATTCTCGATTAAATAGTCACGGTGATAACAGATGAAATGTAAGTAAATCAGTATAATTTATGTTTCAAGAATGACATGATGCGAACTAGACCATGGAGTATCATAGATAAATTTGAATAGTGAGGGGTGATTTTTATTCCATGTGGGGTTGTAGGTGTAAACTGTAAAGGAATCCCGAATTTCGACAAAACAGCTTCACAGAGCTGTCAGGTTTTCAGTGGTTCTTCAGCTAATATCAGTTCATGATGAAGTCAGTCAGTCAGATGCAACGTAGAACTTCGTACGTAAGTACATCAGTTCATGTTGCCATACCCCATCAGCACAGAGAAGTAATTGTCAATTCAAATCCAATAGTAGTAGAGGTAGTAAGGGAATTAGAAGTAATCGGAGAGGTTAGGGTTAGAAGATACTATTTAAGAAGTATGATCCAGTGAGAAAAGTTTAGAGAGTCGAAACTAGAGGTGTTAAAGAATCCAGAAGATTAGGATTTGAGAGAACACAAAGAATGAATGCACCTGCGCCATTGCAAACGATTTTGAGCCATGTCGTTCAAGGTCTCTAACTGTCGGTCACTATCTTTTCGCAGGCGCCAACCAAGTAGTCTACATCTACCAACATGACTC